AGAATTTCAATCTTACTAACATATTAAGATTGAAAATTCTATATGAAATCTCAATCTCAATCTCAATCACGTTTTTTGTGAAGACCCCCAATATTATTAAGAGGCACTGGATCGACTTCATTTTTACCTTTACCATTAGTTTCAACTAAAATCCAAACATCATTTTCTGAATCTATTTCCAGATCACTACAAATACTGTCTCTTATACACATCTAGATGTGTATAAGAGACAGAGTTATTTCTCCACTACTCTAAAATGATACTAAAAAAAAACTGCATTTAGCTCGATATTGCGTCAAATTATAGATATTTTACGCGAATAAGAAAATTTTTAAATTAATTAGTTAAATTTAAAAAGATTGATCTTAATTATAACATAACATGCAGAATTTTGTAAAATATACTTATTAATAAAAACAAAATTAATTTCTTAAAATTAAAATACTTGATACAATTAACTTCCATAAAATCATATTCAATTAACTAATCAACACGCTACTAAAAATTCATTATTATGAAACAAATAAAGTAGTAAGCAAAAAAAAAAATTTCAATCAAAAAATAATTGCATTTGGAATGGAATATTTGATACCTTGTTATTATTTTCACTTCCATCCCCAAAACAAGAAACTTCTTGAGATCCATCACCTAATAAGACAGCATGACTGTATAGTGCTGGTTTGTTAGTTATGTTATGGAAGAGACCAATAATATCACCATTCATTAAATGATCAGTGTCATAAGAAGTGGTTAGATTATAACGTCGTATAAGCCATTCATCATCAACACCAATTTCGCCTGGACGTAAAGTTACTAATTATTAAAATTATAAATTGTTAGTACAGTAGATGTACAGTAGTATAAACCCTGTCTCTTATACACATCTAGATGTGTATAAGAGACAGGGATATAACCTTATTATTTACGTCACAAGTGCATAGGTTATATTCTTTGATGATCACCCGAGTGGGGTGGATATCCGGATGGACGGATCCAGACTCTAGATTTGATTTAAATAGAATTCTTTTTATTATAAATATTTACAAAGATTACATAATTTTTTCGGTCATACGGTTGATCTTCAATAATAATGTGCAACTTCTTTCATTGGGAATAATAAAATATTTAACTTGGTGCCTACTACAAATTAATGGAATAACATAAAAACATGATATATTTT